CAACATCGCATCATGAACCCCAAGCCCGCCCGAGGACCCTCTTAAAGCGTAAATGTTAGAAACTCGAAAAACCCGTAAGCCGGTCAGGAAAGGCCTTCGTCGTCTCTTGTTGTTGACGGACGCGAACTCTGATTCGCTCCTGGGTTCTGTCCAAGGGGTGCTTTTCACAGAGACCTCTCTTGAAGCGAAACATTCGGGGAGAGCTTGGCTTCGTCGCGCAGGGTCCATAACTGTGGAGCTTCCGAAGTCAACACCAACTAGGTGTGCCATGCACTAGGTCACCAGGTTTTCAGCGGTCGGATTTCGGATTTTGCGTTGGACGCCTCTCTGCAGCGCGCTACGGTCAACACAGGGCTTGCGCTTGTGGCAACTTCCTGCAAACAAAACATGACATGCCACCTAATTATCATCAACACAACATCTCTCAAGAGACCCTAAACCACCAGATAACTGGGGATATATTGGATGAGCTGATCATCTGGATCTCTGTTTACCAGAATCAGTCAGAAACCCATAAGGGCGGTAAATCTTTGAGGTGCTCTCCATTGCAAAGGATGGCAACCTAGACATCTCCGCTTCGACCGTCCTTCCTTACTGCGCCCGTCCTGCTCGCGCAGATGCTTCGACCTTCGGTCCTCCACCTGTCAAAGAAAAACCAAAGCATGCACTTGGGGTTTTAGGGTTCCGGGTTCAAAGATAGGGTTTATAGGGCTTTATAGGGCTTTATAGGGCTTTATAGGGCTTTATAGGGCTTTATAGGGTTTAAGGTTAGGGGATTGGGGATTAGGGTTCCTAGCCAAGACACCCGCTGAAATGTGCCTCGAACTGAGTTGCAGGAGTCACTAGTGAACGGAGTGGTCGCGCGGGCCTTAGGCTCCAGTCTGAGATTCAAACCCACACGGAAAAGCCCAGCTCTCTTCGCTCTCCCCTGGCCATGGCACCTTTCTTCCAGCAAGTTCTCCCTTCCCGGCGTCAAACACAAGCCCGAGTGAGTTTAGCACGCACCTCCATAGCACACATCTCCAAACGCTGGCGCAAAGTGTCCGCTTCTGCCTTTTTGCAGACCGGGCTGCAGCAAGGGAATTCTGGGCTAGCAGACATGTCAGAAGCTGAGCAGGTTGCCGAAAGAACACGCATGCGAAACCGGTGCTCTTCTGATTATGGTCCCTCGGGCCCAAGATACTGTGAGCGTAACGGGTTGCGGCATGTCTAATCCTCTGGGGGCCAATCTAGACCTGCAAGAGTCACTCAAGTAACTCAATTCCGACCCCTGATCCTGAATCCCAGCCCACAAGCGAAAATCTAATCACTCCTGCACCAAACACACCAGAAGCTGAAGCGAAAAGATGCCTCGACCATCCTCCGCTCCTGGCTGTCCTGCGCCGCAGAGTGGCGTCGGCCCACGATTCTAGTGTAGGAGAAGTGCGAAGCGTAAGGTTTGGTAGTGCTAATACCCATGGCGAAGATGAAGTCGAGGATCTGATGACGGAGCTTGCGACGGCGATGATGACAACAACGACAACGTGCTCATAGCGATGGTGATGGTGACCATGACGGTGATGGTCATGGTCACTGTGATGGTCATGGTGATGCTGATGATGATGAGGAGGAGGAGGATGATGATGATGATGGTGGTGGTGGTGGCGACGACGACAGAAACGATGCAGCTTTGCATGACGATGCTGGGACTGCATGCTGTGTAATGCTGCTGCTGAAGATACCACTGTTGACTAAGACATACTAAGACGACTACGATAGCATGTCGGCTACCAACGGCCCTAACTGCTACGAAGACACCTACGACGATGCAGACAATCACAAAGATTATCATTCGCAACACCACTCATGACCTTTTGGTGCAACTGCACCTCTTTCGCTCGGTCTGGTAACAGCTGGTGTCTGCCCGACTCGCGAATCATATATCCAGCTATGATGACGAGCAAGTTACCTGTAATTTGTTGGCGATCGTTATGTTGAGCTGTTGATAGGTAGCTGGGCTGCTACTATGTGATCATCCCATTGTCTGCTGATGAAAGACTGACAGACAAACCAAACTTAGAATTGTCCAGGCGCTTCTACCATACGCTGCCTGCATCAACTGCCGCCGCGCAGCCTCCAATACAGGGGAGACCTGCAGAACTGTCCACATGACAACGGCCAGGGACTTTGGACCCGAAACCAAACATCTTGAGCGTCAAACACGAAGTGTGCGCCAACACCTATAATCCAAAATCAACATTTCCAACTCGGCTCGGCCCACGACCATCCACAGAAGGGCATCGCCGCCCGAGGAACTTATCTCCTGAGGCCGAGAGATTACGGGCCCGCTCAGGCCTTTAGGGCTTTGGCCTGTTCCGGGCATGGGCTTTTAGGCTTCAGGCTCGAGGGCGCGGCGGTTTAGGCTATTTAGACTGGCGATTGGCAGTGTCTTCAGCTTCCGATGGTATTTCGGCCGGGATTTCAGGATTAGGTGCGTGAAGGTTCTTTTGCTGGTGGTGCACATCTTCTTCTCTCGCCGCAGAAGAGGGTGTGTGCGTTGTGATGTTCGGGCAACTTCGTAACACCGTCGTCCTTGGGACACGGCTTCTTCGCTCCCAAAACCCATTGACGTGGTCAGTTTCCCTCCCGCCCTTAAGCGGCCCTTGAGCAGAGTGCAGAAAGTAAAGAAAGTATCACGATGATGAGACAAAACGATACAAACAAGAGCATCACTGCCAATGGACCAACAATCAAACATTGTGCGAAAGAAAGAGATAGGTGTTCCACAGCACCTGGGCATGTGGCGCTAGCGTGATGGCTAAAGCAGCACGATGATCATCGGTGGTACATGTAAGCCTGCTAGTTGTGCTAATGCTGAAGCTGATGATGATGATAATGATGATGATGATGACGATGATGATGATGACGATCATGAGGTGTTGATGACTGTGATGACGATTATGACGATGCTGATGGTGACGATGATGATGATGATGGTGGTGATGATGATGATGATGAACATGGTGATGATGATGCTGATGGTGATGATGATAAGGCTGATGATGAGGATGAGACGGAGGAGGAGGAAGAGGAGGAGGTTGTTGATGACGACGATGACGATGACGATAATGATGGCGATGACGATAACGATGACGATGGAGATGATGATGAGGATGAGGATGATGATGATGATGACGATGATGATGATCGTACCCGATGCGAGCACTGCACTGCAAGCGTGTACTGTAACAATCATTGGCCATGATTGCACACGGAAATTGCTAGGAACATAATGACAGTCCATAGTACTAACAGCAAGACGGCAAGCAATTATGCAGCACGTAAGAATAGCATTACGCACAGGAGTATTGGCAATGCAGCAAATCCGAAGTGGCACCGAAGCCTTAGTCGATTGGGATGACCATCTGCTGATCGGCAGATGCAAGACAACGTTGTCACCGACAAGAAGACCGAGAGCAACAGACAGCAGACGACACGACAAAACAGTGAAGCTAGCGGTATCAAAACTCATGCGCAAATCTGACCGTGATAAACGCAACACGACATGCGTCTGACAAAGGCAGTTCCAAGTGTCAAGATCGCAGATTCGCTGCAGGCAGCGACGGAGAAGATGCCTTCCCATGCAGCGGAGCTTCGAGGCCACGTGGGTCGAGGGCCCTGCTGCCCCCGATGCTCAGGCACTGGACTATATATCCTGCAGGCTCCGAAAAAGCATGCACTTCAAAGCTTGAAGCAAACTGAGACACACATTTCAGTTCTAGCTTGATCACGTCTTGACCAGATACAACAAACACCTCCAAATGCCAAAAACATGCCGGCGGCACAATGGAGGCGGATCCCCGCGATCAGCCATCTCAGCAAATTCATTTTGTTTGTGTGAAAGTGGAATTTATAACGGTTTAGGGCACCTGTATAAAGAAAGTTAGTTTTCGTGCGCATTTGGCAGGTCCCGCAACTTGAAACCTCAAGTCCTGTGCAAGACAAGCTCAAAGCTAATGACAAGTGATCACTAAGGGCCCAGCTCGCGTCAACTGTGTCACATCCTTCGGAGAGAAGCTTGGGATGTCGGAACCAGTGGGCACCAAAACGCTGGGAAAGCCATCGAGGAGCTCTTACCACTCACCCTGCACACTGCACCACATCTACCTTGTCATGATAGCTGATGGAAAGTAGCTTGAAGTGCCCAACCCAAACACCAAGCAGCTGAACGAGGTGCCTTTACAAGCTTTCAATAAGGCACTGCTTACTTCCAGAGTTTGGTTTGGTCGTGGGAGGAGCACTCAGGCATGGATATTTTGGGCTCGGCGCACCTATGCTTCAAAACCCCAGCAGCGTTACAGGGGAAAGTTCGGGACTTTGAGCAACAGAAGACTGGGCCTCGCCCCCTTTAGCTCCTCATTTGAGGCTGCAGGTTTCAGCAGTTCAAGGCTGAACCAAAGAGAAGACCACAACCCTCCTCTGCATGCTTGTTCGCCAGGGCACATTGGACTCCTCGAGACCCATGATGCGGAGGGGGGTCGGGTAGAAAGTCTCGATTCTAGGACTCTGTTCGGTTAGTGGCTTCCGGAGTTCAGGGGCTTTGCTTCTACGTGCTGCTGTGCATGTTAAACTTGTACCGGGTTCTGCATCTTTGGCATCGACAAGCATTCCGTGTCTTAATAGTAGTAGTAGTAGTAGTAGTCGTCGTCGTCGTCGTAGTAGTAGTAGTAGTAGCAGTAGTAGTAGCATGAGCAGCTTCTGAAGTAGGAATACGAGTAGGAGTGGGAGAGTAGAACTTCGAGTCGGAGTAGGACTAGGAAGCAGTAGCAGCACAGCAGTGTCACAGTAGTCGTCGTGGTGGTGATGATGACAACATGCTGATATTTATGAGAGCAACGGTAGTCGTCGAAGCCGTAGCTGTTGCTGTTGCCCTTTTTTGGAGCAATCCCCAAGTCATGCGCCGACGGCGGATGTTTCTCCGGCGCAGTTGCGCTGTCCACGGATGCACAACACCGCAATTTCTACGCTTTCAGAGGCAGCTTGAAGATGGCGAAGTGCTCCCTTTCGGGAACCGACACAGGATCGGGATTGACCACCAGGCATTCCTGGGTGAGTCTGCTTCTCTGCACAAGCGGATGCAAATTCCACCTTCCACGCCTCAACCTTTTAAGCGCAGCCCGGAGTCCGGCTTGTTGTTGAAGGGGGCGTCGGTCAGGTCGATAGCGCGGAACTGTCCTTCACGCTCACTAGCGGAGGCTCAAACGCGTTGAAGAGTTGAAAGAGTCTAAGGCTTTTAGTCCTAAACGCCCACACCTGAGACCACAAGCCCGGACTTGGGTTCTCATTGCAACCGGTCCTGGACTGATGTCTTGCGCATTTGTCCCGGCCATGTCTACATCCACCACCAGGCGATTGGCGCATTTGTTGAAGTTCGCGACGATTTCCTTCACCTGGTGGCGAGGGTGCAACTTGGGCTGCGCGCAGATTCCGAGCGAGGTGAGCAAACAATGTCGGGCTTGGCAATTCGGGGCCCCAACAAACTCTGAAGCCGAAATCTCTAATTCCTGAAACCTTGAAACTCTCTACACTTCACCCTCACAGTTAAACTTTCTACCTTTCACCCTCACATGCCTGACTCAAAGGATTGTGCTGAAGGGCATCGTGGCAGTTGATAACATCAAACCTGGGCGCTGTTCGGCAGCTAACTTCGATGCTGCAGCCGTTAAGCCCTGGGCCACAAGCAACAACAGAGCGATGCATCCTGCTGCAGACAAGCGTTGCGAGCCAAGGAGCTTCTTTCCCGGAAAGGTCCGCTCAAGGATGTTCGTTTCTGAAAGGTCCATCGCAAGGAAAGGCTCGATTTTCACTTTGGGCAGCGACGCTTGCGCAGACGCTCGCTTGCCTTCAGCTGTATCTTTCGCCACCGTGGAGACGTCGACTCCTTGATAGTTCAGCTTGGCCCCTTCCGGAAGCTTGGAGGAGATGTGCTCCAGACATCCGGGCATCCAGAAGAAATCTCCACTGGGAGCATCCAGAAGATTCAGCTCGAAATCGCTCTGGCCTGCGGCCTGCCTCTCCGCAGCGACTTCCATCAAGGCTTCGGTGATCGTCTTGCAAAGCAGCTTTGTCCCGACACCCCAAGAGCTGCCTCTTCCTCACGGGACGCAACAAGCAGGCCGCGGAAATGCAGAAAACTCGCAAAGCAAAGCCGGACCCCAAACCTTTTCGTCTGTCAGGGACCTGACTTGGAGCTGGTGACGCCGTTCCCGCCCCACACCGCATCGCGATAAATGAGATCGAACGCATCCTTGGTGGGCTGACCTCCAGGGGAAGATCAAAGGGGATCGAAGGTTCAAAACTCAAGACATGGAGAGGTCTTACCGGTCTTCCCCGGTTTAGGGTCTAGGGTTTAGGGTTCTTGGACCTTGGAGAAAGACGGCGCCCGACTCTTTCCCACATTGGGGATAAGAACTCTGACCTTGGCCGTTCAAAGGCTGCCGCCGAGAAGCCAACACATAGAGACTCTTCTGGCCGCTGAAACTAAGGTTACTAAAGGACATCTGCATGACAAGAAGTCGTAGAGTCAAGCGAGCTGCTCTGGACTACAAGCGCGTGAATGCTGGAAGGAATCATGGCTCCAGCCGCAGCAAGGACCAGCCGCATGACTGCGTTCAAGGGCGTCCTATCTTCAGCTACAGTACTTCGGGGCTTGTCTATCAAGCTTGAGCCGATAGCTCTGTTTTGCGGCACCTTGACTGCTGAGAGTGTCTCCGTGGGCTTCTCCTCCCTGCAGAAAGAAGGCAAAGCCAGGCGACTGTCGCAAGTCTCGGCGCAGTGACTGTGGAAGTCTCGCGATGTGAGTCCTGTTCCTCTTTGAGGACGGCACGAGTACCTGCGACCTCGGCATCGAACTCCAACTCATGAATCTGGCTTCCTACCCGGCAAGTTTTCGGCTCTTTGTTGGCTGCTGCAGAGGCAAAAAGCCGTGAAGGACCGCACTCCCTGAAAGTTACGATACGAGCCTGCCCACGCCTGAACGACCGCTGAGCATTTATGGGATACTGCCAGGAGCTGCTGCTGATTCGGGGATGAAGGCTTCACCTCGTGTCGCAGGGTTCACAAGAGCTGAGATTCACCCTTGTTGAGATCCCTGTAGAGAACCGTCACAGCATTGTAGCAACCCCTCTGTAGAACTCTGCAACCAGGTCCCGAGCCCTGGCTCTCTACCACAACTCCGCGGACGCTGTCGAAAAGCTCTCTAATGCCTCCGGCTGTTTGGGTTTGGGGTTTGGGTGCTCCTCCGTGGCCAAGGTTAGGACCATTCCCGGAACAGAAAACTCCCCTCTCATTGACTACAAGTCTGGGCGGGCGCCCTGGCGCAAGCCCTCGAAAGGCAAGGCGTGCGTGCCTCTTGGCGAATCCGGCCTGGCCGAATACAAAGCCAGGGGGGTGTTGACGTCTAGGGACCGGTGCAGACGCGTGAAGAAAAGCTTCCGGGCTAGCCGGAACTCTCGAGTTGGGGTTGTGGTGTTCTGCGCCTTCTAAGCTTGAAGGGTGCAAGGGGAGGAGGTTTGGCCCGCTATCCGACATGGCTTTCGACAGCTTTGACATCGGAACCGAAATCTGGCACGGGCACCGAGAAACGTCGGGCTCATCATCATGTGCATCATGGTTGACAAGCAGCAGATGTTAAGAAGTGGCTGCGACGTCGCTCGGTGAACGCGACCTGACACCGCTGCATCATCAGATGCAGCAGCAGCGGCGAAAGATAAAGCAGAAGCCACAGCAGCCGCAGCAGCAGCAGCAACAGCGGCAGCAGCAACAGCAGCGCTACAACAGCAGTAGCACCGGCATGAGCAGGTGTTGAATGTCAGGAAATCGTCCCCATTCCCCATTCTCATAAACCCAGTGCAGCCATTGAGGCGCATCCCAAAACACTCTGAACATAGCCCTGCGCAGATGGAATGGGAAGAAAGATGTGGACAATGTGGGTCGGAAGCTAGTTTGATTTGTTGGGGGCTTTCGGGAAATTGAAGGCTGGTGCCTTCACCCTAAGATGCTCCAAAACATACCCTAAACCCGAAAGCCCCAAACCTGCAAGAATGCAAAACTTCCCTCGTCAAGTCACCTGGTTTTTAGCGGCTCTGGAGATGCCATGGGCAACCAGAGCGCACAAACATCGCTTCGCCAGAGATGTTGGCTTCTTGGGACTTGGGAAATCTTAAACAGTCTTTGAGGTTGGAGGAGTCGGACAGAGGTGGTAGCCTGGTAGCCAAAGGTCCAGATGTTCTCGAGGAGCTTCGAGGGTTCACTGTTTGGCTGAGGGCTCTTCCCGAGGAGAGGTTGCATATGGCTGCCCGGAAGCTTGTAAGAACTGCAAGCTTTGGCGTCAAGCCGGGCGTCGGGCATGCCTGGACGCGACATCCTACTGGCCGGAGTCTCAAGCTGGCCAGTTTAGCTAAGGATGTTTGGGTGCAACTCCATGAGCTTTGGGTCCTCAGGGTCGAATACTTTCCGCCAAATACTTGAGCTGTTCGCAGGCTGCGCCCGGCCCAGAACATTTTATCATGCAGCGATGTCCATCTCAGGCGCGCATTGCATCCGCAGTCTCACTCATGAGATTTATGCAGACCCTTCATACAAGACTCCTGCGTAGAAGCAACACCCTCCTCATGTGAGATGGCCGCGGCTGCTTCAGCACTCTCAGACGCCACAACTGCCTTAAAGGCAACTGATGTACCCTCTCGGGCACAACACTAAATAGTGTGTGGGGATGCACCCCAACGCAAAAAATGGAAAGGCTCCGAAGGACAACATCTCTGTGCACAATCCACTTGGCTGCACCTCGCCTTGACACATGTCGGAAAACAGCGCCCCAAAGACCCTACCTAAACCTAAGCAACGATTCAATCGCCAACGACTTGCTTTGCAAGGTGGCATACAGCATTAGGTGTCTACAGCGGAGAGCTGCCTCAGGCAGCGCATGCCCACAAAACAGAAATCCCACCCGATGCTTGAGATTCAAGGTCTGCCCATGTCTGCACCTCGGAGTTGCGGGCTTTCACACACGAAGAGCGTCAACGGCATCGATGACATCGTTCCCATCCGCCCCGGCTGCATCTCCTCCAACCTCGCCGCCATCGCCTCCCCAGTACTTGGCAGAAAGCGCCAAGAAACCTGTGAGCCTTTGTGTCGCAAAAATGGCTGCTCTCTAGCGGTGCCAGATGTTGTGTAGTAACATATCGGTCACTGACTACATGAGTTGTATTCAGTGCATCCAGCATAAGTCGAGACCTACAAATTTTCGTGCTGTGTTGGGTGTCTGGTTAATGGGCAGAGACCCAGCTTTTCGTGGTTGAATGTGGAGGAGTTGTCTGCGCCCTGCGACAAGAACCGAAGAAAGATGCGAAAGATGGAGTGGGGGTAAACGGGGAGGTTCAGAAAACACGGGTGCCTCAACAAGACCTGGCAAGGCGACTTCTGAGTTTCTGAGCTGAGGAGCACCACCGAAGAGAAGAGCTTCATTCCGCCAGTGGCCCCGAGGATGGCCACGAGTCGGACGAGCCTTTGAAGAAAAGACGCAAGACATGGTGGCCTTCATCAAAAGCTCAGAAAAATTTACTCCTCTTTTCTGGGGAAAAGACCCTGAAGATGTTGTAATCACGGATCCAGACTCTTCGAGGTTTTTGGTGTCGTGATGACTGCTGTTGCTTTAGTTCGTGGTTCACCCTCTCAGGGTTTGGGTCGACGAGAACCCAGAAAGCAGAACAACCTCCAGCAGGCAGAATTGCCGCTGAACCTTGTAGACTTCAAAGCAGGCAGCTCCTCGGGTTCGACATCCTAAACCCTAAACCCTAAACCCTAAAACCCTAACCCCAAAACCCTAACCCTAAAACCCTAAAACCCTGAAAACCTGAAGCCCTTAAACTCTAAAGACTCGAAAAGGAGAGCGCAGCACTGGAGCGCCCTGAAAGGCCAGCAACAAAAACTTGAAAGCTGAAATCCACAACCCCGTGCCCAAGCCCGGGGGGCATATTGGCGTTGATGTCCTTCAAAATCGTCTCCCCCGGAATCGCGATGACCACCACCCAATCCAGGCCTGCGGATTCCAGCCCCGGTGGGATTTAGAGTGCCCACGAGACCCTGCCTTGGTGCTCAAAGTCGCGGGTAAGAACGAACTCTTCCACTGGCTCCACGCCTCATGGAGAAAAACTGGGACGTCGGGAAATGTCGCGAGGGACCCCAATCGAACGCAGTTTACCCTCCCCGCCTGTTGTCTTAATTTCAGGCCTGCCGATCAAGTTTCTCACGCGGCTCCAGTCCTCCCCAGCCACAATGAGCATATATTCCGATCTGCAAGACAATGGGGCCTACCCACACATCTGCTGTTCCCAAGCACACGAATGCCGCAAGCATGCAGCAAAAGACACGAAGACAGACAGCAATATGAACTCGAAGACATCCAAGATAACCCTGCAAATACGACCGATTGGCTCACACGCAAACACGCACACTCAAGACGGACACCTGTTGTGAACGACGCTGCTACGAAGATTAATCGACTGGCCGGCATTGAGCCGTGTGTGTGCGCGATACTTGTGTACACTGGCGAACAACTAACTTGGCTTAATCTGAGGCTGCCAATGTCGTTAGAGCCACTGTAAAGCCCATCTCACGGCAGCCGTTGCCGTCACACAAGATGAGTAATCCATAACTCCATAACCTACACTACCTACACCTACACTCATTCACGCAGCTGATAGAGGGTTTGAACATGAGTTTTTGGTGGGCGACCGTCCAAGATTCCCAACCGTCTGGTAGCATGGACGACTCCCTTCCGGCTCCGACGCTTCTCAGGTTTCTGAAGAAAAGAAGAATGCCAGAATGCAGGGTTTCAAGCCATCCTGTGAAAAAAAGGAGCTGGCTTGACCCCAGGGTCCTCCGGAGCTCCACCTGCCATGTCCAGCAGCTTCTTGGCGATTTCTGAGACTCGGCGGTCAGGACACTCGGTTGCAAGGATAACGTCCTGCATGCCGGCGCTCGTCGTGTAGTCCTTCAAGACTGGGACATGTGGATCTGATGCAGATATCAGCACCCCCGTCTTTCGCTCGACAATGAAGATAAACGTCCCCTCGGGCTTGTTCAAGTCCCGCAGATAGGCTGTGATCCAGTGCAACTTGAAGCCCACAACCCAACCACCAATCAGGGCACCTTCGGGGCTGAAGAGGGGTGTGTACCTCGTGGGGCAGAGCGGAGCACTTTCCAGTCAGCTCAGAAGCTCAGCGAAGAATAAAAATTACTCGTGCACACCTCGGCACATATGGGACTTGAGGACTGCGGGAGGGTACAAGGTCCAGGGAAAGACCCGCGTCGCAAAGCGAACCTCACCCTTGGAAAGGTTGTAGTAGCGGATGTCCCTGTACCTTGTTCAAACATCAGAAAGTCAGCATGCTGTAGCTAGCCTACACCGCATCCACATAGTCCTTGGCCTTCCTTTCGCCTCAGACAGGAATAGCATGCCCTGTCGTTCACCACAATATGGCTATAGTACAACATGCGCCGAAACCCTACTCAAATTGTTGAGTTCACTCCAGGCACCAGTAGCCGTCCTGGATCGGCCAATGGACGAAACCGATGGGCTGCACCCAATTCCCGGAACCTGCGATCTCGGGATCTTATAGAGTGAAGAATGCTTCAGGGCTTAAAGCTCGGAGAACTGAAAACCCGAAAGACTTTCCAGCCCAGCAGCTGTCTCGGGACCTGCATTCCGACGCAGATCCCTCTGGACAGGACCTCGCACATGCTTCGGAGCTCCAGCACTACGGAACTTCAGGCCGACATGCTGGCAGAACTGAAAGCAAAGCTCTTCGATTGGGGTTTGAGGACGATGATCTGCTGGGTAGCGGAGCTGGCAGGCTCGGAAGCTCTGAAGCCGGCAGTACTCCACGAGGAGTAAGTGGCTGCTAATCAGCTTGAGAAGCATCGAGTATTGTTAGCATATGTCCCACCCCGAATGCCCCAAGGAAAAAAAGACGACGCGCACCGGATGGACTCATCGCCGAGCCATGGCGAGAGGGAGCGCTTCTTCTCATACCACCTCAAAGGGCCCAGGGGCCATGCTGTCACAATCGCCTCTCTTTTCTAGAACCCGAAAACTGGTGACTTTTAAAGCCGGAAGAGCACCGGAAAGTCAGCGTGTTGTTGCGGGCGCCAGAAACCCTTGCGGGCAAGACTTGCACGAAGTCTCCACTGTGCTCGTTGAAGCAAGTGCCATTGCAAACCTGCCGAAGTCTGACAGAGCTTGGGGCTTCTGGATATGATGGATTCAAGGCCTTTCGCAACCAAGGCTTGTGTGCTCGGCACCGGCTTGTTCTTCAGGCTGCAGCTCGAACAGCAGTATGCTTCGGTGTCCTATTCTGTGGCAGAATGGAACCTCGGCACTGGCTTTTGATAAAAGCCTGCCTCCAGGCCAGGATAGTTGCCCGTGGTGTAAGTGTCCGAATACTGCACCTCAAAACCCACAGCAAACCACAAAAACGCATCCCTTGGGGATTGTTCCAACAAAATCTGCCCTGGCCCAAACGACAACTAACGAATCTCATCACAGAAAGCAGAGGCACCACACCTGCCCAGAGAGCTTCCCCACCTAAGTCTTGCCGGGCGATCTCTGACTCCATTGAACCGGTTGCCGTTCCAACGCACTCCGGATTCTCGATCGAATGGCACTTCCTTCCGGATTTGGAATCGGACTCAACGCAAACACCGAATCATCTTTGAAATTCCCAGGCCCAAGGCCCTGATTCCTAACAAAGCACGGTAACACGATGATCAACATTCAGCAAAGCATCACGACATCATCGTATTGAAGGTTCGTCCACAGTCCAGAGCAACATCGCGACTCGTCGAAATAAGTTTCCAAAAATGACCGCTGATATGGAAGCGTCTTTTGCAGGTCATCCCACTGACTCAGATTCCACTTGAACTCGTCAATCATGTTGACACCTTGCTGCAAATAGATTCGCAACGGCTCCATTTTGCCGACCATATACGTCTCTATCCGATTGCCAATGGAATCTTGCAGTTGTCCTCCGATTGAGCCGACCGCAAATGCCCCAGTCGTCATGTTGATAGTGAAGACAAGGCTTGATGTCACCAGAGCGATTACCAGCGCAAAACACAGCTTAAACACCTGAGGCTGGGCCGATGCATCAGTGGAACAAAACCACGTGTTCTTGAAAACACGACCTGACCTGAACATGACATGAATATCTGAAAGGCGCCCGTCTTCCCATCGGTTCTCTCCGCAATTTCCCTGCGAGACCATCTGCCATGCGGCTGCTGCGCCACCG